TATGTTAGAGTGGAGGTGTAGGGGGAGAGACCAAGGAATTAATGGCTTCTTAGGCAAATTTTTCACAATTGTATTTTAACTTCATTTCCAGGAGTACTCAATGCTATGAATTCCTGAGATCTTTTGGGATTTTTATGGGGGTTAGAATTGGGTTAGCTCCTGGTTCTCTTCACTACTTTTAAGATTTGGCTTTTTGGGGCACCTTCGTGGCACAGTTGGTTAGGCATCCAACTCAGTTTCAGCTCAGGTCATGATCTCAGGGACATGAGATCGAGCCCTGTGCCAGGCTCCTTGTGCTCAGCAAGGAGTCTGCTTAAGATGCTCTCTCCTGGGGCCCCTGGGTGGCCCTGTGGGTTAAGCCTCTGCCTTCGGCTCAGGTCATGATGTCAGGGTCCTGGGATCAAGCCCCACATTGGGCTCTCTGCTCGGCAGGGAGCCTGCTTCCTCCCCTCTCTGCCTGCTGGTCTGCCTACTTATAATCTCTCTGTTAAATAAATAAATTAAATCTTTAAAAAAAAAAAAAAGATGCTCTCTCCCTCTGCCCACCACCCTAAAATAAATAAGTAAATCTTTAAAAAAAAAAAAAAATTAGCTTTTTCACTCCTGCTCAGCTTGTTGCCTCTTCTATCTAGCTCTTTCCAGCTCCCACAGGTTTGTTAGTGTTTCTCTTTTCCTGTATTTCCAGTATTTCCTCATAAATACTGCCTTAGAGGAAAAAGGCCCTTTGTTTTGGTGGGGTTTTAAGAGGCTACAAAATGAGATGCATGTAATCTACTGCTTTTACTCAAAGTCTATATATGACTTCTTAAGTTTCTTATTCAATTCTTGTATCATCAGTGGCCAAATAGCATTAAGCATTTACTTTCAAGAATATTACCATTTCCACAAACCCAAATTCTTTCATGAGATGCTATACACTGAAAGGAATGGATAAAAATCACTGGTTTACAGGTATGTGACAAACTCTTCCTATGTATCACAGCTCTTGTGTGATTTATTATTATACTTTTTTCCCCTTAACACTCACTGTTAAAATGAGTATCACACAATTGCCAGGTTTTGTCACCTATAACTCTGGTATGAGTTAAAAAAAAATTAAAAGCCTTCTATTGGTTAGTTTCACACTGCAGTAAAGAATATAACCAAAGAAGGAATTTGGTCAACTTCAAAGTAGAGACCAGACTTAGTAATGGAGAATAAAGCCTCTCTTTGTTATGTTATGGCCCATGAGTTAATCCAAAGAGCTCTGTGGGCTTAGCTGAAGATAGGAAAAGGAATCTAGCTAGATTTTGAAGAACATTTTTATGTAGGCAGGCCAGGTCATGCTTATCTAAGGATTCTCTAATTGGACGCCATGAAGTGATACACTACACAAACCGCAACACAGGAATGAAATGACAAAATGAAGCAAAACCAAACAAGCTAACTTGGGGTTAGGGGTGGGGAGAATAAAAACTAACAGAAGACAGTTAAAACTCAAAGCATTACTAACTTGAAATCAAATTACATAATTGCATTCTGGTCAGTCAGAACCTGATGCATTACTCAATTTTGGTCTATTTGGGGTAGCTTGTACCAAGAGACTGGTCAGAATACATTTGAAACCAGACATTCACGTAATGGACATGCTGTTGATCAGCAATTAAATTACCTGCAGCTTTGAAAAGTGTGTTAAGCGTAGTTGTCAACAATAATTCTTCCTTGAAAATTCACTAATAATGTTAAAAAAATTCACAAGGCATCACCTATTTGCTCAAATTATCATCACAGTTTTAATCACACACTGTATCAAAAATCTAACAAGGATACTGTATCAACAGTACAACATGAAGAGGAAATTTGGCCAACATTAAATTGATTCAGTTACTCTGGGCTAAGACAACTCACACAGTACCATGAAGTTGTTTTTTTTGTTTGTTTTTTTGGTTTTTTTTAACATGATCTATCAATCAGTAAAAGCAGGAAGACAAAGGCAATTGAAGAAGTGGTATGTCTTCCAAGGATTTGACAATCTGAGGAAGAAAAACAGGACAGAAGTCGGAAAACAATTCAAATGCTCAAGTATCATGTTTCCAAAGAAACAAACAAGTGCCCGTTGAGTGTGGCTAGTAAGGACCGAGGGTCTGAACTGAGCTTTGGCAGACAAGAACTTGGAACAGGTAACTGGCCTGTGAGGAGAAAGGGCAGCCTACAAAAAGGGAAAAAAAGTTCAGAGAAGGAAAGAGAACTGGCAATAGCCATCCCCTGTGTTAGGAAGCTAAAGAGAAGTGCTGGGAGCCAAAGCAAGATTGGTTTCTACTTACAAGAAAACATATGCGTTCATACAATTATCAATTACAACCGAATACTGATACAGCTCTTAGTTATTTCTAGACACAGGGAGTTGTCTTTGCTTCAGGAAGCCTGCAGCCTTAGTATCTCAATTTCTGGAAGTAAATTTAAGCCAAAGAAATTATGTTTTTCCTCATGAAAGAACGAGCAGCTCTGGTTCGACAATGAATCGTGCCGTGTTCGTGAACTAGGTTATTACTTGACTGACAGGGAAGAATGGGGAGTCAAATGATGAGAAGCTGAATAAACTCATGCCAAATTATGTAACTACAGTTTTCACTTTAGCTCCAACATCAGGGATTTTCTCATTTACCGAACATATGTAATAATGACAGATTTTTTCCTTCACTTTTCTAAAAATATTTTATTCCAGTTTTAGATCATAGAATTACTTCAAGCACAGAAATTCCCATAAACCCCACCACCAGTTTCCCCTATTAACATCTTCCATTAGTAGGATACATTTTGTCATGATGAACCAATGTTGTTCAAACTATATTCTATATTCAGATTGCCTCAGTTTTTCCCTATGTCCTATTTCTGTTGAAGAATCCATTAGTTTACATTATACATAGTTGTGTCTTCTTGGGCTCCTTTCATCTGTGACAGTTTCTCACATTTCCCTGGTTTGCAAGACCTTGGCGGTTTTGAGTATTGGTATTTTGTAATGTCCCTCAATTGTGCTTTCTCTGGTTTCGTTTCTAGTAGACAGCAGAGGCAAAGTTCCATTCTCATCACATGAAGGTTATGTACAATCGACATTACTCGTCACTGTCCACGTGGACCTTGACCGACCACCTGGCTGAGGCTGTTGGGTGGGGTTAGGCAGGTTTCTGAACTGTAGTTATTTTCCCTGCCCTTGGCCATATTGCCTTCTGGGCAACATGCACTTTAAGGAGTGGGGATTTAGGTTTTACTTCTCAGGATAAAGTATCTGCAAAGATTGGAATTCTGCAATTTGTCTCCTCTCTCCCATTAATTCAGTTATTACTGTGTGGGCTCATGGCTATTTTACACTCTGGGTTGTAACTCATTCCTACTTTTCACTGTTGCTCTGAGATACCTGCATCATCACAGGATTTGAATGACTTCCTTTCTGGTGCTGTCAGATGCTCTAGGCTCATTTTGTCTATTTGCTAACCCGGTCCTGGAGTATCAAACATTTCTCTAACGAGCCCCATCTTTTACATTGGAAAATGGTATTAAAAACCAAGCCCTACATGTGCTAAATAAACTTTACCTTTTTGTCTCCTAAAAAGGGAAAAAAAGGTTAAAAGCCCAATTCGCTTTATTTACCTCAGACAATGTAACTAGCATATGCAGCGACCTGGGGGACTCCTACCTTCTGCCTTTGGCTCAGATGGGGCTTCCTGCTAAGCCCTCTCCCTCTGCCCCTCCCCCTTGCTCCTTCTCTCAAATAAACAAAATCTTAAAAAAAAAAAAAGCGTATGCCATTACCTCAACAAATAACCTTGAAAAGGCTAATGCAGTTACCTGTCTGTAGTGAAGGGGGGGATCAGCATTCATGAAATTTATGTATCTCCCTTTATACCTGTAATCGTATTTCTAAAACAAACCCCCCTTTTTTTGTTTTAAACAAAGGTAGCTTTGGTTCAATGTGGGAGTTGTTTTTATTTTATCCCCCAACGTGGGATTGGAATTTGCTGTTTGTGCTGTTGTAGGTGAAGAAGGCAGGCAAAACATGAATCTTTTAGGCACTTTTTATTTTCCAAAAAAAATTGTCGTTAATATATAAACATCTCATTCTCTCAAAAAATTCTACAACTATACAGCTGTTTGCTCCATTATTTGCATAGGAAATGACCACAATACAAAAATAAGAGGGGAAAAGAAGCAAAACAGCAACCAATTTATGCTTTGTATGTAGGCATGTTCCACGTATAAACATTTTGAAGCCTTACAAAATATTTACACCGTTTGTCATCTATTTACACGTTTTAAGAGCAACTTTTCTAACGAACAAAACTATAATTTATCAAGTTATGAAAATTTTCTAAAAAAAACTTACTATATTACCACAAAATAAATAAAGATAAACAATATTTTAAAAACAAAATTAAGTTTCCATTTTCAATTAAGACCCCTTTTGGCATTTTGCTTATTTATTCTGCCCTTTGGTTAACAGCATCAGCATCACATTACTATTATTTTGCATATATGTAGCACTTGCTTCCTTACGCTTTCAACATGTCATTTAATAATTAGAGGCAGACACTGAGTCAGTATTAACAATGATTATAACTAAACTGCACTGTAATTTAGGTAAAATTACTGTGTCTCACTGTATATTACATGCAAAATCCATATAAATTGTCGTTTAACCAACAGTACTGCATAAGCGAACATTCCAATATGTGAAAACTGCATCATAAATTCAACATTGCCACGTGAGAGCTGCGAGTCCTTTTTTAAAACGGTACTGTTTAGCTTATTGTTAGAGGTTTTCACTTTTACGTATTTTATCTTTAAGCTCTGGAGTTCACAATTCATATAAAAGGTCTTTCATATTGAAAGTAATCCTATTTTCATCAGTGCATGGAATCTGCTTTTTAAGTTGATTTGAATGATTTCTTCCTCCTAAAGAAATGAATTTGGTGAAGTTTGAAGAGGTATTTTACCACAGATTCTAACTGTAAATGTATTCATGGTTTTTTTCAAACAGAATTATTTATGATTTTCCCCCAAGAGAATCTTAGAAAATTTGTAATAAACCTATAAAGCTGATTTGCATATTTACAAAATTTTGAATAGCAAATATAGGCAACTCATATAAAAACAAACAAAAAAACACATTTGTTCAATGGCTATTTGTGAATTGCCAGGTACACTGCGCACCTCTAAGGAATTATCTAATATTAAAAAAAAAAAAACAAAAAACTACTTGATGTCAAGTAAAATCTTGACATACAATCCAGCCTTCTTCCTGTGCCTGCCAACTGACTTGTTTACTAAACACTGTCACGTTAAATGATGGTGCTTAGGTAGAAACACTGCAAACACACCCTGCACCCCCACCCCCCTACCCACAAGTGAGATGTGGCTGCCCGTCAGGAGATGAAATCTGCTTGAGTAAAGCCATATACATTACAGCAAGCATTCCAGATTCTCAAAGGACCAAACGCTTTGGTATTCATACAAGGTATTCCCTGTTTTCTCAAATATACAAAATATACATTTCCAGTTTTTTGTTTTTTCTTTTTTTTTATATATATAGGTTAAGTTTGTAGTTTAAAACTTTGCCAAAGGAACTGCAGAACGTCAGTGTGAATTGCATAGGCACGGCAGGCCACGGCGGGGCTCTCAGTTCTGGTGCCTCTTCATGTGCAGGGCCAGGTGGTCGGAGCGGGAGAAGCTGCGGTTGCAAACCCCGCACTGGAATGGCTTGGCCCCTGTGTGCTTCCGGTAGTGGCGGGTCAGCTCGTCCGAGCGCGCGAACCTCCAGTCACAGCCCTCCCAGGTGCACTTGTACGGCTTCTCACCTGTGACAACGGACCAAGAGGAGGTGAGGGGGGCGGGCCTGCTTGCAAGACAAACATTGCAGACACTGCCTGAGAAGGAAAAGTCTTTAAAAAAAAAAAAAAAATGTCCAAGAGAAGGTTGGTTCATAAATTCCATTAGGATCTTAGACTTCAAGAACCTAGTGAAGAGAGCCTCTCTTTCCTAGGTAGTATTCAACCTAATTACAGAAAGATAGATGTATCTGGACTTCTCACGAGCAGGAAAATTATGATTTCGAATGTGCAAGACAAATGGGTGCTTATTTGTTATGTACTGTTTCCAAACATATAAATCCATGAAATGACTAGATGCCCTCAGGGGGCTTTATCACCGCTGTGGGAACTCAACTTCTACACCAACAAACCCAAGTTAAACCAGCACAGGACTAATGGCTCTGCCAGCCAACGGAGGAAAACATTCCGAGGCTGCTCAAATCACCAATACCACGAACTCAATGTACCACACAACTGCGATCTTTTCAAATGGGGTCCGGTTTCGGGATGAGCCAGACGAACCTTCATATGAGTATGTTAGCGGTCTGAACACAGGGCCTCCAAAATGGATGAAGGGGCACTCACTCTTCGAAATTCACTACAGCACACACACATTCTCAGTCAGATGAAAGCAAAATAAAGCTAGGAACATATTAAAGTCGAATTGGTCCTGAAGCTTTATGCATCTTATATTTAATAAATTCCTCAACCAGATCAGAAAGTCTGATACCAGTAACCTCACTTTGGTGAAGAATCATGGAACTGTAGTACTTCTAACATTTGCTGATACAGACATGTATCTGCCCTGTGTCTATTACCTGCCAGGCACTGTCCTGAGTATATGGGACACAGTGGTCAACAGAACAAAAATGCCCGGTCTCATGGAGCTTACAAGCATTATACCAGTTTTAAAAGTCTCTAATCAAGCAATCTCCTTATTCTTTCACAGCACTTTCTAACTCTGGTAAACTGACATTTAGGCCACAATTCCACCGCAATTTGTAGTATTCTTCATGTTGTCTGAAGTTTGCTAGTTGATCTTTCAAATCCACTTAATATTGATAATGCAGTCTTAACTCCCCGTTTAAGAGTTAATTAACCCTATTTAATTAATTAACCAACCCCAGGTATTCCCCTAAATAAATCCCAAAACCTGAGGAAGTTTCACTGAGCATTAACTAGTAAGTTCCTATTATTTATGCTCCATTATGTTACAATTTTCTATGAATTTCAAAGTTTTGAGATAAACTTTCTTATTAAAGTACTACTGTTGGCTTACTGCTCAGTCTTATTTGGATACCTTTTAAAACTGAATAGTCACACTCCTGAATTCCTTAAAACGTGGTTTCTTGTGAAAGAGAAGAGCCTCCAAGTCACTTTGAACACTCTACTTAGTACCACAATGAAACCCAACAACCTGTCTGATTTAGCAGTATCATCTTCAGAAGTTTTAAAATTACTCAACTGAGTCCAAATTTTACAAGACACTCTCCACAACAACTGAGATTTCTACAGCTTGTAGTTAATTTATTTTTGCTGTCCTGGTAACTACTCTCTTAAAACAAAATCCCGTGAGGACAAAGGAGCAGAATAGCCCTTTGAAATTTGTACCTATTATCTCCTAGATTTTTCTTTCAACTTCTATGGTATGCATCCCCAAAAATCTTCTTTCCTCACTCCTCTCCTCTGCCTCTGAACCAAGACAGAAATCCATAATTTTTAAAACAATTTTCATTTAAGGGGCACCTGGGTGGCTCAGTGGGTTAAAGCCTCTGCCTTCTGCTCAGGTCATGATCCCAGAGTCCTGGGATCGAGCTCCGCTTAGGGCTCTTTGCTCAGCAGGGAGCCTGCTTCCCTTCCTCTCTCTCTGCCTCCCTCTCTGCCTACTTGTGATCTCTGCCAAATAAATAAATAAAATCTTAAAAATTTTTTTTTTCATTTAAAATATATAGTCTCAATTCCTGAAGTTTTTTTTTCCAGTATAAATTCTGAGAATTAAAACTAACACAAACATTTTAAGTAACTGTAGTAAACTCGAGTAAATCTAGCACGCACTCTTGTAAATGTAAATCAAAGAGAAAAAAGTTAACTTTTTGCACAAGCATTTGTTTTTGTTCCTCGTGAAAAATACATCCCAGAAACAAACATGTTGGTTAAATACTTCACTGTCAATTAATGGAAAGAGAAAGTTACTTCTGATGTCTGAGGCAAGGAAAAAAATTCATGAAGTGCTCTCTAATTTTAAAAGAAATCATTCTAGTCTTTTGCATTTAATAATTAAATAGCAGGAGAACTGAATTTTCAGAGTTTATTTAAGAAACAAGGGACACTAGACTCTTTGTTCACTATTTTTATTGGCTATGAAGCAATAAACTGCACCAATATTTTTTAAAGTTTACTTTACTGATTGGTTGAAAAACAGTAGCCATTAAAGTTCCTAAAACATTTGGGGTTTTGCTCTCAATTTATGCACATCTATAGATTATTCAGCCAAGAATACTACCAGTGTCTGGGATATTAGTTACAGGGCCAAGTCTTTACTATAAAAGCAAGGACAACTATTTCCCACTTGGGGCAGTTTCTATGGGATTTATTCAAGTGTCAACACGGTTCAAGTAAAACATCATAGAGGAAGCTGGTACCCAATTTCTGGCCAAATAGTAGTTCGGGCCTTTCTTCCTCAGCCAGAAACACTATGCACAGTACTTCTGGGAAACCAAACTGACTTCCTTTAAGTTATTTCAACAGGATAGAGCTTTCAAAAGTTTAATTGGATTTTTACAGAATCTCTTTCCAATACCACCAATTTAAAATATTTAGTTAAGCTCTTTCAACATCAACTATATTTTTAAGTTCTCATGCTGTTAATGTGAAACTTTCCCAAAGGCAAAAAGAAAAAAAGTGACAAGTTTGAACAGCATGGAAAACAAGCTTCAACTTTATCTCAAAAAAAGTATGTCTCTTCTTCTACTTTAAAATTAACCAGAAGTATTTTTGCTAGGAATCCCTTATCTTTTTTAGAAATGATATTCAAGTTCAATATACACACTTTCAGTACTGAGAACAACAATGAATATATTTCATAAAAATGGGAAGCAAAAACAAAGCATTACCAATGGAAGAAGGGAACAGACACAAACACTGAGTACAAACTGCGGAACCAGGTATTTCTCATTATTTCACTTAATCCTCACAGTAACTAGGTGAGTTACAAGTGAAACAATGAGCTCCAGATTAAGAATCTGGGCCTGCCACTTTTCCTTAGCATCCTACTTAAGCCCTCCATTAGCAAACACTCCGTTAACTCTATACGAATTTAAAGAACACTTATTGTTCAAATTTATTTAAAGATTCTAAAACCACTTGAGAAGGTCAGCTATGGAACAGATTAATGGACTCAGAGAACAGGCCTTAAACTGCAGACGATGGATAAAAAAAATAATAATAAAAAAAATAAACAAACAAACTGCAGACGGTGGAAAGCACAGGGCATACATGAACCAGCCTTCAGCGGAGACCCACCTTTCAGGACCAGTGGGGTCCAGAGAACTATTCTGACAATCCATCAAATACCACCTCATGATCGCTTCCCTTTACAAATGAATTTCAGGGGGTTAACAGAACATGTTTACAATGTATCTGAAATCTTTAGCAATGGACTAAAAAAATCATTTTTTTCCTCTGATAAACAGGTAAAAAATGACTTTTGAACCTACCACAACAGAATGGGAGGTTTCTCTGCTCTGCTGAACATACTCAATAGACTCATACCAAGGTCCTTTCCTAGAACGTTCCACACACATTCTTCTAACAAAAGAAAAATATCATACATGGAAATATTGCTCAGAATAGCTCTTTTAGGTAACTTTTTAGAAGTTTATTACCAGCAAATTGTACTGACCTCCTGCCTGATAACTAAAAGGTAATTCAATCAATTGTATCCAACAGAGACTAGTAACTATCAGAATTTTAAAAACCAGTATTTAGTAAACAAGTGTAATCTGTACTAAATGACTTGAGAAACAAAACTAAGACGTCATCTTAATTTTCTCTTAAAAAAAAAAAAAAGACTTAAGTCACTGGCCTCAAAGAACTTAAAATCCATTTCCCATTCTGAGAAAACAAAATAATGCATACAGTTAAAGGAGAATAAATTATTTTAATAGTTGGTACTTAATTCTTAAATCAGCTCTTATTTCAGAAGGAAAATGTTTTTATGTAATTTAGTAATAATTATACTTTTTACATCATTAGATTTAAAACATTACTAGACATCATTAGACACTTAGGGAATTGAGTCTGAAACAGTCTCTATATATTCTAAGAAAAGGTGAAAAATGGGAAACAATCAAAAGATTAAAGAAATTATTGGGGCAATAAAAAGAAGATAAGGTAGTATGATTTGGGCTCATTAATTTGTTATTTTTATGTAGCTATGCCAGTGAATTTCCATTTAAAAAATCTTTTCATTAAAACTCATCGTATTATTAAAAGCACATCTCTTACACTTGAAACAGAAGGGTTCATTTAAGAGATTAGTATTATCTGTATTTGCAAAATGCAACTAATATTTACTAGATAAACAGTATCCTGTCAATAATGCACCCTTTTTCAGGAAACTGATTAATTAAAAGGAAATACAAGAAATTCCTTCTTTCTCCCTGCCAATTTGCGGTCAGTTCATATGCTTACCCTTTCTTTGAAATTTGATTCACCTTAACACTTCCAGAAAACCTCTGACAGTCCAGGAGAGATCATTCCATTTCTCTGTATCCCCCCTATAGCACCACTTACATTCGTTCTGAATGACTGGTTTGCACTTGCACATATACTGTTAAGAGGGTTCAAACAGCTGTGTTTTGCCTCCTTAACTAGCTTTGGAAGTTCCTCAAGGACAGACTATCTTCTGCTCCAGCTGCAATGCCACACTTCTCACAATGCATCTTTGGAACAATCCCTTGTTTGGCCCAAGCTTGACTAATTCTGAT